CATTAGCATTCTCTGCGATCCCGGGCTTTCTGCTCTATAATTTGAAAAAGAAAACATGAATTAGCCATCTCCACAGTCCCTCACACAAAATACTTTTCCAGCAGTCTTCTAGAGTAAGAGCTCTTTTCGAGACACATCTGTTGCCATGTGGCAAGCGGTTACCACTCTGAGAATTTTTCGGCAATAACAATGTCTCGAACGAATGCGGATGAAGGTGAGAACGCTGCGAACGACTGAACGAAACCAGTAACGCGTGGATTACTAGGCAACGGCTATGAACACACTGTCAGAACTATACAGAGAGAACTAGTTAGCTGGCTGGCCAGTATCTCTCATGCGAGACGATATGCAGCCAACAGATGTGTTGTACCTGAGTTTATGCAGTTAAATGACAGATAGCTACCCGATCAACTTTCACCATCCGCTGCTTAGCCTTGAAGTGCATGGTCAAGCCGAATTAGAGGAGTGTTCGCCTCCAATTACAGTCCTCACTCAACTCTCCCTCCGCCACCGAATTCGGCTGCGGCTGAGCGACCAGGCGGCAAACAGCCCATCCTGTTTTTCTCCGCTCTTCATCGCCTCATTTTCCATTTTCCTCGCGAACAGCCCATTCTAATGACTAGTCCCCATACTCAAATGAGAGTGCCCACTATGAGTCTCTGCACCTTTATCTCAACTTATTATAGAGAAACTGTTTTTTCTCAATTAGCTGCACTCCTGTGTCAAAAAACAGCGACTTTAAGAGACGAGATGTCACTTAGTGGACAATTATGCAAAGTCCACTACGTCAAAAAGTGTCACTCGACCCAGACGCGAACCGAGATTTCATCGAGATCTTCCATTCCTATCGCACCTAATTGGCTATTGAATTTCTCGCATTCTCTGCAACATTCTGAAAAACGAGAAAGTCGAATTCATGTTCTACTGCTTATCTTTCCAATATTGTTTTCAAGTTCATACTAATGTATGTTAAAAAATTTGTGGGGTTATTCTTCTAATCTTTTTACGGCTTATTTATCTCTACATACTCAAATCGTTTGAGCCCGGTACTGTAACTACCAAAATTTTTATTTCAGCTCGGAAAAAGAGTGGGGAAACAAAATTCACATATGCCGAAAATATAGGCTCTTTCCCAAAAATTCTCTCCTCCTTCATTTACCTCGCGTTTTTTTTTTCACATACAATGCCTCTTCAGTTTCGCTTATTACGAAAAAGGGACTGATCATTCGCAAAGCTTATCTTGAATAATTTATCTGTTTTTCACACACTTTAGTAACAGCAGCGAACAACATTTCTTTAGAAACCTTTACCTGTAAACATCCATTCTCTTCTGGTGTGGTAAATACATGTGATCCTCTTGTGGTAGACTGATTAACAATTGAGAATACCAGGACTCAAGGACCAAGAAGCTGCGCTTTGAACTTAGCTTGAGATAGAAAGGGTGTAAATAAGCTAACGGTGGTTATGGTTAAATGAGATCACGTAAAGCACTTTCCTTATCATATCAGATCTGATGAAAGGTAAACAAGCAAGCTTCAATAACGAATCATGCAAAGTCTCCAGCGAATGATATTCTTCCATAACCTCGGTGATGATCGCGCAAGCGATTTCTCCTTTGCTGTATTTTGTGTATTCCGTTTGTCGCACTTTTTGAGGAAACCATCCTTTCGCTGACGACAACGACTTTCCTAAGGAGGACTTAATAACTGCGCACAACGGACTCCACTCTCTCTTCATTGATTCACGTTTTCTCGTAGACATTGCAATTTTTTGCTTGCTGAGAAGACTTTCTAGGACGAACTGTTCGAAGGTTTCGTGCTGACATCGAAAGGCTTTTCCATCTACTACGAATGATCGCTCGTCGTTCCAGTGGCGTACAACATGTTTATCCTTATTAGCCAAATCCTGTTCCTTGCATGATTTTTCTTGCTGTTGATGTGACGGTTTATGTGAGCACTGGATTTTGATGCGTGTTTCACTCTTACGTGACTCACTTCGGTCACACTATGTAGTTTCAGCTGCTTCATAGTAGAGGCGCATTTTACAGCAACCAGTTTTTTTTTTCGATATTCAGCTGCAAAGTTGATCAAATGAAGGTCATTCTGCCCTACTCATGGTTAGCTTTGCAAAAATGCAATTCTATGAACTTCTTAGCCTATAATCATGGTCTGTGAGCGTACAGACGATGATTTTTAATTTGTATTTGGACACACAAGCGAAAAATATGAAAATCATATATTTGCACCGTATGAGAAATTTGCAGTAACTCAAATTTTGCGTCTTTTCTTGGATTTTGCAATACAAAGTGTACCTTATAATTCCCATAAAGTGCTGAAAGTTTCTGTAACAATTCTCCAATCCGTCGAAGCAACGAGTTTATTTATCTTGCTATGTAGTTCAGGTCACGCTACAAAAAATTGTTTGCTATATGCCTGATCTAACAACAGCTCAGCAACCATTAAGTGTTGTCTGATTTTGAGTACCGTTACACTAGCAAATGTAGTGGCCTTTGACTACCTTGCGGAATACCATAGCAAAAACTTCTCAACTAAGCAGAGATTGCTATAAAGTGGATTTAGGACGGAGGCTCAGCCAAAAGCAAGTCTGCCTCGTCCAATCTAAAATTAGGAGTTATGTTTCTTGTGAACTAAACATCCAAACTCCGATTTCCTTTTACAGCTCGTTCCGCCTATTTTATAGTAAAACTCATCCTTTAAATTGCTGAAGTGCGATGAAGATTTGGCGATAGTCATGACTGTGTTTGGTTTGGCGCCAGAGTAGCGCTTCCAACCAAATAAGTCTAATGTATGTTGAATGAAGGTCTTTCAATGCAGTTTGGGGATTTTGCTTTCATCTGTGAAACTCCAAACTTTTAATGCGAAATGCTGGGCCGATTTGCCAAATACTTATTTGTTCGCTCATAACAATTTTTAGCATGCCAATCTTACGGGCAGCATATTATTACTATATTTTGATTTAAAGTTTTATTAACGGTATGTGCGGAATGCAGTCCACCACTTACTGTGACGACACTGTACTTTGGTTTTTACGATAGAAACTAAACAATCCTTACGGAAAGGTCAACAAGAGGCGATGAAACGATGTACGACCAACAGGCTGACGTCAGCGCAGTAGCACTGCAAATTCAAAATGTGAAATTGGCAAAAATACAAACTTATTGATTCTAAGTGAAATCAGAAAAACATCTTTTCATCATATCATACTTTCATTTCCGTGTTCCATGTTACTTTACTTTTAATGATTCAAACCTTCACTCTCTTTGTTCAATTATAAATGTTCGCGCAACATTTTGAGAGATTCTCAAATACGCTTTGAAAAATTTCATAATGCTCCAGCACTCTCCAGACATGACCGGAATTGAATGTGAAAATTAGCCATCAAAAATGTGCACATTGACATTGAGGAGTTATCGAAAACTGGAGTGCAATAAATCGTTTCTCGCGAAAATTTATGAACAAGCGACCTTGTAATTTGCGTTGTGCGATTTAAAATGTTCTCATACCACGGATGTCATACACAGATACTCATCAGCTATCGTCTTGCATTTTATGGGACTCGATGACATTTTGATAAAAATTGTTTTTGTAAGTAACTTTGAAAATGCAGGAAGTAGAAGTCAAATATAAACAAAAATTTTGGAAAAGCAGACAATAGCAATTACTCGTATCATCACCTTTCGAGAGGAACATATCGAAAATCAATGGAAACCTCACAAAGAACTGCTGTCATCAATCATTTTGGGTCTATGGAAAATTGATTGAATGATCTTGCTCATGTCGTGAAGAACGATTTGTATTTCTGCATTCTTTCTTGGGCCTTTCTTGGTCAAGCAGTAGCTACGCTTGCTTTTTTTTCCAACTCCATTGGTGATTAATAATTTTCGGTATAACAGTCAACTATCCTTTCAACCAATTACAACTTTATATTTTTTATTCTCCATCCAATCTCAAGTGCGTTCATCTCTAAGCCTACTATCTGAGGTTCCTACCGAATTGTTTGAGTACATAGACAGGTATAGGATGCGGAAAAGTGCTGTCCCTCCAGTTTCGCTCCTGAAATACCTGAAACATAAAAAAATCTGTAGTTTTTTGATTCTTATACGTAAACGAGATTCTTGAGATTAGATAAGATAAGTTTGATTTGTAACTGTTCTCTTCTGTCCGTTTGAAGAGTGATAACAGCGCGCAAGAACATCAACGATGCACCGATAGCATACAAGCGCGATTTTGGACCGTAGCTATACCACCAGAATTGATATAAGGTTCGAGTCAAGCTGGTACGTAGCATGACCTCTTCTCCAATATTCTATACCCATTATAGGTGAATTGGATTGGTGACTCTTGTTTTGGCCAAATGAAGATGATTATGTCACACGCAAATCGCAAAAATTCTAGAAAAAAAGGAGAGTCAGGAAATGCTTGCTTGATGAATTGGATTCAAACTATGATTCGAAATTCCAGATTCCAAAAAAAGTCCGAGTACAACTGCTGACTGACTACTTTCAGAATTTTCGGGATTCACTAACACATTCCTTAAGCAGTAGAGGATTTCTCAAGTTTGCTTGACAAACAAAAAAACTTCCCAAAAATCCTCACACTTCTTCACATTTGCAAATTTGATATGAGATGCGCTGCGAAAAGGGATCCGCCGCCGGGTAAATCTGTAGAATTTTGGAGCCAATTTTTGTAAAATGCTAGATTATATTCACATTTTGGGAATTATGTCAAATTTACCAGAAAAAACCTGTGAATCACGCCGATTTTTTAAACTTTATTTTGAGGGACAGTACTTTTTGCGGACCCTATAGATATACTCACGTAAAATGACTATTTTTCTTTTTTCCCCTTGTATCCTTTTCGATAAGCTTCTTATTCACATGCGCTAGCTATTTTTATCTTTTTTGCCTTGTTCAAGGAAATAGATAAATAGATAAATGGATTTTTGCGGGTTTTATTGGGTTGGAAGGTCATCTTGATGTCATGCTAAGTCGAATGACATCATTCATGATAATGCGATTCTGCATTTGGTGGTAAGTCTTATTGCGGAAGTCCGATCGTTGATTCTTCGATATATAGAGATGTATTGTGTATGCACATCTATACATACACTTTTTTCTTCAGCAAACACTTTCGCTTATCTATTGCGTCACGTCCGCGCCTTGTCATGGGCTGTTGTATAGACAGGTGTCGAAAGAACCGGAACAGCATCACGGAAAGAATAGCATTAGCCTTGATGTGAACTATATCGCCCCATGCATGCTAGCTCTAATGGTATCCACACATCCGTCTTTGATCCACAACTCTCTTTTGTTCACTCCATTATTCAGTGGCTAACAAAAATGCCTGAGAACAGGAACCGACGATGCAACCGGCTTTTTTCTTCACTCCCAGTCCTTGAGCAGTGTAGACTTCTCTTCGAAGCTTTGAGAATGTCCTTAGAGGCTTGTTGCGTGCTTAAATATGCTTCGAAATGCCCTCTTACATGAATCATGGTTTTCTTTCTAAAAAGATGTTAGCTGAACATTGCTTTTTTGGTCATGAATGATTTGTTCTGACTCACATAATCTTGAGGCAGTCTGGCGTGACCGTTTCTTGTTTCTTCTTTCTTTCTTGTCTCGATCATAATTTTGCCACTCAGAGATTATTTGGTGTCACACTCTTTTGCAAGGATTTTAACCACCATCACTGTTTCTTGCTGATAGTCCCAAAGCCCTCCTCATTGCTATGATCGTGAAAATAGGATATCTCACATAAAGTTTTTTTTTGCAAAAAAATTCTATCCCTTCAGCACACAGAAAACGGAAAAATTCCATAACTCGGCACCTTACCTATCACAGCAAGCTTAAAAATTCTGAGAATCTATGCTCTTCATTATTTTCCTCTTCTTGGACTTTCCGTCGGAGCTATTTCCATTCGCACTTATATGTTGGTTTGCAGCTGCAAGATAAGTTGATTATTAGACATAGTAACGAACCTCGAAGGGAGATGATGTGTCAAATAAGTTTCTGGGAATGTTTTTGTTATCCAATCCATGGTTTTTTGTCCCAGTGACAGGTGAGTGCTCTAAGTTGTAAAAAGTTGATGATTTTTCTGCAGCCTTCAAGTATAAGAAAAAAATCACAAAGTGATAAATCGTTAAAATTTTTTGAAACACGCATCACTTCTGTACAAATCTGATACTAATTACGATATTTATTTATGAATTCAACAATATACTGCCTACTTCCCACTAGAGCTCGATGCAGGGCTCCGCAGGAGCTGGCACCAGTGAAATTTCAAAACAGTCCACCTTGACTTTGCCAAAATTTTAGAAGTCCGCTGTGACCCTGGACCCTAAAGGTAAAAACCCTAAACGTAAAAAACCCTCAAAAAATGAAACGTCGACTAAAAAAGTCGCAATTTTCGTGTGTTTTCGGCCAAACGATATTTCCTTTGCTTTTTGTCCCAAAAACGATATACAGCTATATACAGGGTGTCCCAAAATAATGTGCACACTATTTGATTTTGAATAACTCTCTTATTATGAGGTCTTTCGAGAAGCGGTAAGCGCCATTTTGTAGAGCTGGCTTCAACTTAGATTTGCAGTATAGAGCGAGTCACCGACCGCTCTTCATTACTGTAGGATTACGGTAGAAACATGAAAGAGGGTTTTGGGCCATGAAAGGCCATATTTTGCTTCTAAGGAATCAAAACAGCCTGAAAACTTCTACACTAGCCCAATTTGAGTTGCTGATTCTAACTGTAAAGTTCCCAAGTTATTATGATGCTACACTAAAGAGTTATGCGAGGTAAGCAGTAGCAGCCATTTTCTCAAAGTTCCTAAAAAGTGCAGTTACACCGTTTACAAAGCTTCGCAATCATGAGAATAGTTGAATATTGAACTCAGCGTCCCTAAAAACCTTATTACACAAGCTTTCACGTCTTTTTGAAACTTTTTGAAACGGCAGCTTTTTCCACAGTGACACCATATGTTCCAAGTTTCTACCGTAATCCTACAGTAATGAATAGCGGTCGGTGATTCGCTCTATACTGTAAATCTAAGTTGAAGCCAGCTCTACAAAATGGCGCTTACCGCTTCTCGAAAGACCTCAGAATAAGAGAGTTATTCAAAATCAAACAGTGTGCCCATTATTTTGGGACACCCCGTATATCCAGCTTGACTCGGTTCCAGCGGAGCCGAGCCTTGGCTTGATGTTTCCACCATACTTGTGATCTTCTTGTCCCTCGCAATGTTTGAGTACCTTAATCACGGATATTCTATTCGATGCTATGGACTCTAGCGTATCGCCTCATCATAATTGGAGCATGTTCTTATGTCAACAAAAGAGTTAAACGTCCGTTCATACATGAGATGCATTCAGAGCATTAGACAACATCCGTAAAAATGCGGTAGTGTTATATATCCGTGTTCACCGAGACTGAAGACTTTGTATGCAAATTCACTGCGACTTGGTTGACATAGAATTGGGGTCAAACAGAGGCCGGCACGAAACTCCGATTGACGTCGTGAGCCGAAGAGAGTCTAACGATGCAGATTTATACGCGGAAGAAAGAAGATCAGCGCGATGATCACTCGCCAAGGTGCGACTTCCGCGGCCCTCTTTCACTCACTGTTTGGGAAATAAATCCAACCATTTGGCATAGATGACCGATTCTGTATCCTTTATTAGGTCAAATCAGCAACGGATCCAAACCCAGTAAGAATTCTGAGCTTAAAAAAATTTTCCGAGCACTTTCTCGTAAACATTTAGAACATGCATGTTATATGTGTTCACTTCTCATGGACTTTTTCATACTATTCGTCATATGTCGATTTTTTTGTATTCTGAATGGTAGATCTTCCGTGATGTAGTTATTAGAGGATCTTATCTCCAGGATTTCCAAAAATGTGACACTGTTCCATTTTTGATCTCCTTCGGGAGGGTATAAGAAAAAATAAATTACCGAAAACACAGTTTTTTTTCAATTAAAGGGATGGCGTGGGTCACCACTCTGAAAAATTTTTTTAGGAGAATTCTTATAGTTTTTACAGGCTCATTACCCCGAAGAAAACATTTCGCAAACCTAGTCTGAACTTCTTAAGAATTCTAATAAATATTTTCATTTTACCAGTATAAGCATGTGACTCAAATGTTTTCATAGCTCCTGTGAGAAATTTTCAAGAATTTTGCGTTCCATACTCAGGAAGTGGGAGGGGGTTCGCAAAGTCTTTTATTCATCTATAAAAACCATTGTGTTGAGCTGGCTTCAACTTAGACTTACAGTTTACAGTTCAAAAAGTTAAATAGACTATCTGAAATTTATTATACTAGGGTGATCCGGGACAGCTTTTATTGTAGTATCGCATTTCTCCGATGCTTCTTTTATAGCTTATGAAGCCTAATGGAACGGTGTTTCAACTGTTATAACATGGCTTAAAAGACTTGAGAGCTCGCAAAAAAAACGGCGTATGTGAAAATATCTGCCTTGAACACAATGTTACGCAATTTTCCAAATTTCTGGTAATTTTTTTCTCAAATGGCCTTTCATAATATGCCAATGTGTGCAGAAAGTTTGTGCCATAATCTTAGAGTAACTTGGAGCAATCGATGAAATTTTCCATACTGTACTAATTATAAACTGAAGCCAACTCTGCAATGATACCAAAGGACCGCAAAAGATTTGTGGAATTATTAAAGTGTGTACATACTTATAATAAGAAGTAAAGTTAGTACTGATAGTATAAAGTAAAAGCACACCCTCTATCTCTAGGTTCTTATCGCTCGTTTTCCATCTGCTCTAACTAAATGATTTCTGACAACTGTTGTGAATGTTTCTGAACTTGAAAACGTTTTCGAACTACTGACTATCTAAACATGGTAGTAAACCATTAAAGGCAGTGTCTCGGCAGAACTGCATTTTCCAGCTTTTCTTCTTAGAACCTTCATGCCGTGAGAAAACCATATCTGTGTTTTTCAGCGCACGAAAATGGCGAAAACGGGCTTTTTCTGAAGCTTTCCAGTTCCGTATTCCGTGAAGATACGCCGAGGTTCTTTCGCGCCCCGCCTCCCTCGTTTCGGGCTCCGCCCATTTACACGTATTCTGCACGCATAGCGGACCTGGAAAGCTTCGGGAAAAGCTCATTTGCACCATTTCTAGGCGCTAAAAAGAGCAGATATGGGTTTTTCACGGCGTAAAGACTTCGAAAAGGTGAGAACTGGAAGACAAAATATTGCCGAGACACTGCCTTTTAGACAGTTATCAAGGTACCACTGCCCCTAATTCATATTACCTGATGGAACATAACAACAAATATTTACATATTGATATCAACAACACAATTCTATCGCTCCATTTGAACGACATTGACCATTCTTCATTTCCAGGAGTATGCTGTCATGACAGCCAGTTCTGCCTTTTTCCTCATAAATGTCATTAAAACATGTCTCTTTGAAAAAATCTTGTTCGCCCAATTTATTGCCTTCAAAATGAAAAATTTTGTGCAATAAGTGAGGAAAGCCATGCTTGTCTTTGTATTTCCCCTTTCATGATCTTTTTTAGAAACTATTTTGCTAATTGGAAGTTAACATTTTTATTCTTTTCGCGCAGTAACTCTTACTATACTGGGTTTTCCAATAGGAACCACCCAGTTCTCACCGCATTCATTTTTTTAAGCCTAGACTACCCCAGTAGCTGCTTTTGAGAACGTCACAAAGCCGCTGATACTGTTTCAAAAATGTTTATAATATTGTGGGGTCAATGTCATCGTAATTGAATCACTCTCACATTTATCGCTAAGCAAGTCTCAGTAAACTTGTAACACTTGCACATTTGCAAATAAATGTAGTTTTTCAATTTCTATTCCAAATCATTTCCGATTTAATATTGGATAATGTCGCCCATTCATCAAGTGCAAATCTCAAACTGCAGTTGACATCGTTTATCACGGTCCCAGATGGAACTAGATGTCTCAGTCAATGAACCAGTTCAGAGTTCTTTTTTAATCTTCCAGATGACAATTCACCTACGTCGCTGGGAAGGTGTAAAAGGGCAACACCACTGACGCATCAATTCACTACAAAGTTCATTTTTCACTGCCGAAGTTCTTTTTGAATACAGTTTTAAAAGTTTTCGCGTACGGAGAGAATGATTTAGTAGTTTCTGACTTCAGTGTCAACTTGATGCGAAATGTCGACGTTAATTTGCACTTAAGATTTTGTTATGACTTGTTTTAGTGACCGCAATCTCCCCATGCGAATTATCGTTCGCAACGCTTCGTTTTAAAATATGGGGTTGTCCCGAGTTCTATTGACCCATTTTCAAAAATTCACAGTTTCTTATACCTCGGAGTATTTGCACAGAATTGAGTTTATTAGAAAGAGGACATCATGCACTTTACGGACTCACATAATGCAATAAGCTGTAAAAGAAATTTACCGTTCTCAAATTTTGGTTTTTGAGGTCTTAAATTTGCAGTAAAAATCGAGTAGTAGCTACCGTGAGTTTT